TGTCCCCCATTTTCAGGGCCCGTTAGGAGATGGCGCTTTCTCTTCCCTTTGCGTTACAACGTTTCATTTAACGCTCGGAAATTAAAGCAAAGCAGAACACGGGGGGGGAGCACAGCCCAGAGAGGGGCAGCAGCGCGGCAGGTGCCTTTCCCTGCCCAGCTGAAAGCGTTTTCATGCCGTTAAATCACGCACTTGTTTGGGAGCAGCCTGAACCTCGGCAGTTTTTGTGTTGTATTATTCAAGCTCGGGCTGGTGACGAGCAATTTCATCAGACCGAAAGCTAGCGGTGTCAAAATTTGAGCTTTCGTTAATAAAGATGACCATCTCCATCTCCAAAGAGGTGCTCCTCTGCATTAATCACACATCACTCCCAGAACTTTGAAATGGGAAAAGAGGAGGAAAAAAGCCACCAAAACCACTCCAAGTAAATCCCCTTCTGGAAAAAGCCATCAAATGGCAAGGGGAAGCACCCCACGCTGCCAGCAGCCCTCTGCACTGGAGCCAAGGCTGCTCCCCTCGCCATGCAGGGCTGGAAGAAGTGGAGCTGGGATGTGTAGTTTGAACCAAGGCTGGTCCTTCCTCGGGGTTTGGGATTTCATCCTTGGTCTTTATGCCGCAAAACACAACGGAGGCCATTAACTTACCTCCAGTGATGCTGGAAAGGTGGAGGGAGCGGCCACCGGGGTGACCAAGGCTCATGCAGCGCCACATGGTGCTTCCCAGCACCACATTTTGGGGGATGACCCTCCTCAGCCCTCCTGCTGGCACGTGGGCCTGGGCCGTGGCAGCACAGCCCCACCGGGGTGGAGGGAAGGAGTTGTCCTTGCTGGCAGCACTGACGTGGCGCCCGTCACACTGTCCCCCACACAGCCATGGCCCCCAGTTTTGAATACAGTGGCCCAGCAAAGTGAAGGATGACAGTCTACAAATGCACCAGAAGGCCATGCACCCCACAGGGCAGCACACCCCCTGCACTAAAGGGTTAATGTTAATGAAAGAAAATATGGTCAGAAAACAGCCGTGAATAAATTTAGCCAGTGCACTGATAACTCTCAGAGTAATGCAGGTAGAGTTAACCTTTCGCTCAAAGTAACACGGGGCAGAAAGCTAAACCCCTTCAAGGTGGGGTTCAGGAGGTCTCTGAAGACAGCTGTCATCATAGGCCACACATCACAGGAGGAGGTTGGACTCCATGACCTTGGGGTTTCTGCTAATCCCACACCATACAGCCAGAAAGAGATACGGGGTTTGACATTGGTTTTGGTGGGTTGGAAGGGCTCCCTGATATTTACCTGAGATAACACTCAGGTACCTGCTCAGCAATGGTTCCCACTGTACCTGGAAAAACTTCAACCACTGACCTCACCCAGGGTCACACAGTTATCCTATGCTTGAAGACAATACACTGAACTTCTGATTTTCCACATTTCACAGACAGGTGGCTTCGACAAGTTCACAGCAGACTAAAACAAAGAGAACTGGGCACGGTACCAAAGCTTCATGCTCTGCTTTTATCGTAAGACTACCCTTCATCTTAACAAGTCAGTGCTACCTCTTTCATTCACAAGAGATGCTTTATTCGACTAATTACAAATCCATGTGATTGTAAGAAAAGGATTAGACCCCGTTGGTAGAAGATCGAGCAGTGATGCTTGATAATGATAATGTAATGATATCTTAAGGTCAATCCAAATTCATGCATGCATTCATTAACCCATATGCCATTAAATTTAGGTTTTCAGATGTTCCCATCTGTGAGGGAGCTACAGAACACAGTCATGAA